TAATTTAACGATCGTTAGCAAACGCGTTATTCTAAACTTCTGAACGGCTCTTTCAACGATTGTTCGCTAACGCGTTTTTCGTGCCGTTTCTAACGATTTTTTTTTCGTCTGGGCAGGCAGGTATGAGAACATGATCTTTTTGACTACTGAGGGTTCTTGATCACTGTTTAACATCCTGTTTACATATCCAAACCATCTCAACCTGTTTCTTCGAAGGATGTTTCCGATTGGGGGTTATCCGGTGATTTCCAAAAGTGTATCGTTTGACATTCTATCACCTAAATTAACTCCAATGATAATGCGTAGGCATTTCATGTAAAAACTGTTAATTCTTCGTTCATGTGCCGTAGTAATAGACCACGTTTTACTACCATAAAGTAACGGGGAGCCTTGCTATAATGGAAACAGTCTTTTTAACCAAATTACATGTCTCAACATGTTAAAGGCTATAAACTAAAAAACACGACGTTTTGTAGAAGAGTTTACATGATTTATCGAACTTGTATCACTAACGGTTACTAAAAGTGAAACATTGACTTGGTATATGTGACATGCTTTACAAATGAAATAATATCTCGTTAGAAATTAAGCTTTAAATGATTAGTCATTAATAATCAATTACTTTTTTTGTATCATTCTCTCAAACACACAAGAGTTATTATATTTTGATCATAAAACGTCAAAAAATAGTAGAAACATCGAAAAAGAGAGGGTCCGTATCATAGTATCAGCTGCATAGTGTTGCTGTCTCATGAAGTACACATCTGACTGTGAAAAGTCTCAATATCTAGTCTGACTGTGAAATGTCCAATTTCAGTTTGCGATTTTCTATCCTACAAAGTTCGTTTTCTTTGTCTGCCATGAAAAGTTTACTCACAATAACAAATATATGAGGCACTTGAGTATAGACAATTCTCGGTAAGAATACAATCCTCTTAAAGTTTTTTAAATGCATAGATGGTAAATTTGAACTTACGTTTATGAATGAAAATTTGTCTAAATTTTGGCAATAGTTTTGATACAAATAGTAAGTTTACAACGCATTTTAGTTGGCTTAAACTTTACCCTCTCCCCCTTCCCAGAAATGGTTTTCTCTATATAAGAATTACACCTGAAGTATTTCCCAAGAATTTTCATAGCGGTGTGTCATAGAGAGTTTATTCATTTTTTGCTTAAAAGAGGAAAATAAACTACATCGTCTGACCGGCGCCGAGTTTTGAATTAGGTCTTAGTTTTTTGTCAAATTAAGGATTTTTAGAAAATCCGGATGGCTTTTTCGGATTTTGAAGATTGTTGGTTGCCTGGAAAATCAATAAAGGCTTAATTAAAAAATCGGTGCTGGTCAGCCGATGTAGTTAGGTGTCTAGCTTAAAATAAAACAAACTCGAACTCTCCAGCTTGAAGTATATTAAAAAATCTTGAGAAACACTTCAGGGCCTTTTTGGATCTTGATCTCTGAAGAACTCCTGAACAGTAAGACTTGGACAGAAAAATATTTTTTCATTCCCGTAACTCATTATGCCAAACATTTAAGGAAAGTTTCGTCAAGGTCGGATGTATGGTGTCGGAGATAATTTCTGAGGGGTGGCGGCCCTTAATCTTGAATCCAAGCGAAATCGAGAATATAAATTCCCATTAGATTACTTTGGAACTTAAACAACACAAAATCAATCTTTGCACGAAGCTAGAATCGGCGTATGTAACAAAAAATCTAGATTTCTCTTTAATAATGTGTTTTTTTGGATTATGCGAGGGTTTATTGACCACGCTCTGGAGCGCTTGCAAAAATAAGAGAATATACGAAGAACAATTACAAAAAAAAGGATAAGACCGAGCAACATATAACGACGAACTGTTTATATTACTGATAAAAGGTTAAGTATACAAAACAGAGGAAAAGAGGAATAACAAAAAAGTAAAAATAAATATAGTAAATAATAAAAAGTTGTACTTTACTACGGTTTCAACAAATAAATTCTAACCATTTAACGAAGATTCGCGCTTACGTATCACTTTTTTAACCCTTTTTATACAGAAAAAGTGGCCACACTTAGAGGATCTATCATGAAAGTTTTCCCAAAAAAATAGAGCATTAAAAAAGAAAGATGAACCCAAATTTGTTTCATATAACTTTGACAACCTTTTAGAAATACACTTTTATATATAATGAACCACACTGTAAAAAAATGAAGTGTGTTACTGGGTGTGTAAATCTTCTAAACGTTCACTCGACGTCGAAAAGTGTGTACCTTTTCTAGATGATCAATCTCAGTGTGTAAAGAGCTAGGTGCGTTAAAAAGATCTCTTATTTTCTATTTTTCTCCCGAACTACTGCATCGAATGAAAAAATAATTTCAGAATCATGATCACTATCAATGCTGTCATTTTCGGCAAAACCGGATCAGAAAAAAAAGTGAAAAATAACATCTCCATATGGTAGATTTGATCGATTGATGAATCTGAGACATTTTCAGCGCAGATGATTTGGACAAGTAGACTATATCATTGGTCTCAGTGTGTAGAGCCAGACAGTCACTTCTCAGTGTGTACTTTACACACCTACGCCGTGTATTCTCAACGGTCACTAGGAATCGACTTGGCATTCACTTTATGTGTGTCATTTACACACTTTATTTTTCACAGTGCAGGGTAGGTTCTTTTATGACCTTAAAGATATGCTGAGCCTTTATAAAATGACATCTGTAGATAATACGAAGACCCACTCTGTATTTTCTAAGGAATAATTCTTCTTGCGTTAGGAAAAGTAGCGGAACGAAGGGAAATATCCAACTAAAGAATGGGAATGAGTAAGCGAAAAAACACGATCGTAGCACATTAAATGATATTTAACGATTTCAGTTTAATATACGGTTTATCTATATTTTCTAAACTTTTTTCAACAGTGTGTTTTAAAGAAAGTTTACTTGTCTATATAAAACCTATATATTCAAAATTCGGAGACTATTTTTAGTTTACCACCGTTAATATAAACATCAATACACGGTTTTTTTACTCGTGAATAAAATAACTGTTTTCGAGAGGTTAAGAGGTTATTTCCATTGAATGAAGTACTCGTTTATTCTCTCACATACCTTAGAGCCTTCCTCACTCAAATAATCCAACATTTTCTGTGGTTTAACATCTACTGGAGAGTTATCAAAACTGATATATCGTCCGCGAAAATATGAGCTGTATTCGCCCTTACTTTCATTACTAAATCTGAATGAAAAATTATAAACAAGTATGGGCTTAAAGAACTACCCCGCGGTAGGTCTATTTTTAACTCAAACAAATTTGTTTTAAATTTACCAAAAACCGCATAAGCTTTTCACTCTTCTAGCCAGTATAACACTAACCTTAATAAATTTAAAGGAATACCAAGGCGGAAAAGTTTTACTATTAAACTAACATGCCAGACCATATCATAAGCCTTTTCATAATCGAAATACATTGCTAGTGTAGGGATATCTAGGTTATTTTGGATTTCTTGATGTATAGATAGAACACGAGTTTGCGGTAAACAATTTGTCTGAGCCCAGATTGCTCCGGAGGGATAATATGATTTGAGTCAGCCCAAATTTTTACCCTTTGTAACATTATTTTCTCATAAATGTTTGAATGAGTTACTAGGAGAGAAATAGGTCTTGTCTGCTCACACGATGGAACTCCTAACTTTCAATTCATTCAACGTAACTAGTTTTGCTAACTTCCGCTCCTCAGGAAAAAAACTATTTTTAAGCCACTTGTTAAAACAGATAGATAAGTACTCAACAAAACCTGGGCGTAATAACTTTAACGTAAAATTTGATAATCGCTTTGTACTAAATATTAAAGTCAGATGTTAGATAGACTATTAGCCAGATATATCTATTTCTTAACTTAATGTTCGTATTATGATTTACGCTCCTGAGGCCAAACAAAACCTTCAGCACAGATATTTACATCAACGATTGATCGTATCAATGGATATCGATCATTCAAGATTTGTATATGTTGTAGATGATGCAAATTTTCACAGTTGTCATGACATGATCGTGTAAGAGTAAAGGTGAGACATGTTTAGATGAAAAACATTTGCGTCATTTAGGGGCAGTTACGTGTTCTGCGGCGCATAAGATTTGTAGATCAGTTAGAATACACATAGCTTTGAAACTGGCTATATTATCTTCACTGTAATTGACTACACAATCAATGCTCAGTGAGAGTAACTAGATTATATAGACAAGTCAACGATGATCATCTCCTGGCACGATCAACAGATACATGTTAGATATATTTTTCACAAGAGAATTACAACGCTCCTAATAACATTGTTTGAATGAGACGGATAAGCACATGCGGAAGTACAAGCTTCTGTAATAAGAAATTGTAACGCAACAATTGACTAATAATGAATGATAGGAAACGATTAATAAACAACTATGTAATTATGGAATAAAACGTGATTAGAAATGACGCGCATAATATAAATATGTAATAAACTTTGTATTCATGTTTCCTGGAATATCTTAGTCATTTTGAAAAAATACCAGGCGAATCAATCAAATAGCGAGATCGTTAGTTGTAACGGTTTTCTTCCATTAGGGTACGAACATGGTAGTGTGACCACATGTATCGTCTATTGCTGTACACAAGTACAAGTACTTTGTGGAATTTTATAACTGTACAAAGAATATATAGGAAGAGAGAGAGAGAAGAGAATGAATAACGAAAGAAATTGGGATAGTATGCACAGAATAGGGGTGAGTATGAACGCTGAGAGAAATAGAATAGTTTGAGGAAGAAATAGATTGTTCCCAAAGTGCGCATACATTTTCATCTCAGGAATGGAGTAATATTAATGTTTTGTTATAGTATCGTACTAACCACACCACAGAAAGTGATGCAGCTCTATTATGCCGCTTGAGTATTAATTAACTATAGTGCCTCGTTCGCAGCGACTAGAAACAACTTAGCATATATCATTCATCTACTAAAAGGATTCAAACAGATTATTACGGATGGCATATTCTCCATCCTTTCTTCTAGTGGAATTTCAAGCCCTTTATATTTTAGGTTATGATGTATCTAAAGATTTAATGTTTATGATGGAAGACTATTGTAATTTACATCGTCAATTTTCTCGTGGTTTAATATCGTATTTTGAACGGTGGTCAAAACGTATTCAACATCAAAATACTTTATGTTCATATAATACAACCAAACGTGCTGTACTTGATACGGTTAAAAGTGCAAAGCAATTAGCTTTTGTTGAAGATAAACGTATTCAAAATATTCAACATGTAATCGATAAATATAAAACAATTGTCAATGATACGTACATTCCGACACGTTTCTCATTCCAGCAACATCGACGAACAAAAGAATTTAAAAAGCAATTTAAAGAAGCTTATCAAATGTTGAATGATTGTAAAATAAAATTAGATAATTTAAAAAATGATTACAAAATAGCACAAGAGGACTTGAAGAAAGCGGATAGTGCACATGAAATTGTATTTAGTGATTCGACAACAACTGATAAACAACGAACACGTGCAATTGAAATGCAAACAAAACGACGTCGAAGTTTGAAGAAAATAAGTGGTCGAATAGCAGTTATTGAAAATAATTACAATCATGCTAAAAAAGTGTATTGTAGAAGAGTAAAAGTGATATTTCAAGATTGTCAACAAGAAGAAGAACACCGTTTAGATTTAATTAAAGAAACTTTGCTCGATTTTTGTCAAGCCATTCAAACTGAAAATCAGATAGAATTAGACAAAGTTTATGAGAATTTAGCTTATCAGATTCAGACAAAACAAAATTCATTGGATGATATTATTTATTGGGCACAATCTTACGGAGCTATTGACTACAATACTGACCCAATAAGAGACGATAGTAAAACATCAAAAGTTAGGAAACAACATATATTCGTAGAAGAATCACCAACAATCAATAGTAAAAGTCTAATTGAAGCAAAAAAAATGGATACAAAAGTGTACGAATCGATTGTGACTACATTAGGCGCGGACGACGAAGATATATCCGAAACAAGAATAACAAGAATGAGGAAAACTGATAAAGAATCTAATTCTAAGAAATTTAGTACAACAACAGAAATAGATTTTTATTAGACTATTTAACTGTTATGACATATTAGACTAGCAAGATTCTTTCGCAAATGACATTATTGGTTGCACGAGATTTAACGAAAACAAACAAAGTTAGCTTGAATCGTATTGCACAGTACGGCCTAAAAGCGCGCGACGGAATTACATTTTTCCGCTTCTGAGCTCTGTTTCTTCTCAAATACTAAACGAGGGTTGACGAAATTTTCCGCAAATATGTGTGGTAGGATGCTTGGTTTCTGATAAAAATTTGGAATAAATCGGTTATGTAAAACGGCTTTTATAAGAAATCTAGATGTCGTGACGAAATTACATTTTTTTCAGGGCTCTACAAACTTTGAAAAATGCTCTGAAACGACAGATATTCAGAAAAAATGTCTAATAGGGACCCTATTTAGAGAGTAAAATGAGCTTTCGATTCGTCTATTTACTTTCACTTACAAAATAAATTGAAAGAAACAAGCAAAATGGCTCCGTGACGGAATTACATCATTTGTTTTCCTTTCTTTGCGGTGGGTTTTATATTTCTATCGGTAAAAATACCTCTACAAAAGTTGATTTGCATGTGACCTTTTGCAATCGAGTGCGCTCTATCCAACTAAGCAAAAAAAGACGGTGGAAGAAATGTTTTTGATTTTCGTAAAACTGCTCCAAAAATAGTACCATTTTAATAAAAACCATTAAAAACTTATTTAGTGTGTATAATTCTTTAAAATTGTTTGACAAAATCAATAGTGCATTTTGTAGAGAATTTAATTCTTTATCCATCGGACACTTTTTAAAAATTTTTAAAATACCAAGCAGATCGGGCAATTGACGTAAAAAAACTACAAAATTTTTGATCGAACTTCGAAATTTCAGTTTCATTCCTTTTTGAAGTTCCCTTTTGAAGCTCGATCGGACCATTTTTTCGAAGGGTCATAATGTGACTGGATCAAAACCGGAGTTTCACAGAAAACCCATATAAAAACATCTCAGATAATTCTGGGGAAAAATACATCGATTTTCTTTTTCAATGTTCTATCTCTGGCATAAATTTGAGCTCAATCGGACATGTGCTCCGCATTTGGCATCAAGGTAAAAGAAAGGGGGGGTGGGGTACCCTTAAGACTGATTTGAGAGAAAAAGTATGGCTAAGCCTATTACAGCTGAGAATTAGCTGGTCAAGCCAATCTGAGCAAAAACCAAAGAAGGATATTTCCCACAAAAAATGTGTCTGATATGTTCTTATGCATAAAATATCCGCCTGGATGACAATACCTCTCTTAGAAAAAAGTATATGATTAGAGCCAGGTTAAAAACTGATATTCTCGTGAGTGTATTTTTCATTGAAAACTTGAGGCGTAATTCCGTCACGCATGTTTTTTTCCGTAAGAATCAACTAAACTACAAAACAAAACACATGGTTTGGCAGCTTTCGAACCAACAGCAGCGCGTATCGCTATATACATAGTAGTGTAACTTTATGACATTGAAAATATTGGATTTATACGTTTTCCATATCGCTCTTTAAAATGGCATTAGTGGATTTCTCCCTTCAACCTTTAACCCACCACAACACAGGGCGACGGTTACGCGATTTAGCAGCCCAGGACAACGAAACCGAGACAAAAAATGGCTCGTTTATGACTCATTAATTAGTCATTTTTTGGTCATTAACGGTCATTTTTATTCATAAACGGTCTCATTATTCGGTCGTACTTAGACCGTTTTTTTTACTAGGTAAAAATGGCCATTTTATGATCATTCAACAATGATCATTTCTGTATCATCTATCAAACACTGATGAGCCATTTTTAGATCATTCAAGGAGGAGAGTGCTCACTGTAAATTTATTCCCTATTGTACCAACTTCGCGAACTAAAATTACATTAATTAGAGAAGGCCTAATTCCATTGTTCATACTAGTTTAAAGTACCCGAGTTGTACACCATACTGATGTATCTTTTAGAAAATGATCTCTTTTAGTTTCTAAGATATTTGACGGTGAATATCGCTGATTATCATTTAGAAAAGCAAGTTTTTGCAATGACTAGTATGATGTATATGTGAGCAAAAAAGTTAGTCTTACGGTTATACAACAGAGCATCATTTATTGATACATGCCTTAGCTCGTTTTATTATTTTTGCATATGCTCTTGGTTATAGATAGTATTCGACCTCGACTACTTATGCTGCAAACACGAGCTCTTAATTAACTTCTTAGACCAAGATATAAACATCAGAAATTTGACTTTTATACAAATATCGTTTTAGGCTATTTTTAGGGCTTTTACGGAAAGCTCTATAATGTTTTGACGAAGTAAGTCCGAACGAAAAAATTCTGAGAATCTTCCTATATATGTACCCTCTATCTACGGTAAAATCCTGAGTCAAAAAGTCAAACAACGATTGAGCAACTTCGCTGTCTCACTCGTGCAGTGACTCTTACGAAAAATCGACTATTAAAAATAGTGTTTTAAGATTTCAAAATCTCCTCCATTCATCCGGTGTAAAAGTCGATTCTGAACAACATTTGTTCCAAAATGCCACCCGGGTGCTACATTGTTTTCAAGATTTTTTAGAAATACTTTTTGCTCCGAAAGGGATCGAAAGTACCGGTATAATCAATGTATTGACAGAGATAATTTTCCAACTTTACTACATATGGCAACTAAAGAAACTAATTTTATTTTTAATAACAGAACGTATGAAAAACATAATGGAGTTGCGATGGGCTCATCCTTAGGCCCAGTTTTAGCTGAAATCTATATGTTCCATTTCGAAAAAGAAAATATGGCTCGATTCGATGCTGGTGTTAAGTATTGATGCCGATATGTTGATGATACTTTCGCTCTAGCAGACCGTACTGCTTCAGTTGCAGATATTATGAACATTCTTAATAATTAGCACAGGGATATACAGTTTAGGTATGAAAAATAAAAATAACGTGATATCGTTTTTGGATGGACTCATTTCTGGTTATTACAACAAATTTACTACAACTATAACAAATAAAGCCGAATTGAACAAATTTACTATTAAAATTGACATGAAACAAATAAATTGGAATAAAATCACTTAATTGTGGCATCAAATGATACTTTTGTAAATAAACTCGAGACATCAACTGATATCAGTTCAACCTCATTCTCGTCAAAATGGCACACTACGTCATTCATAAACGTAAGTTCAAATTTACCATCTATGCATTTAAAAAACTTTAAGAGGATTGTATTCTTACCGAGAATTGTCTATACTCAAGTGCCTCATATATTTGTTATTGTCCGAAAAAATGGCACACTACGTTGTTCTGAAGAAAAATAGAGATAAAAAGTGCATTAGAGAAAGGCTAATAGCTCAGTGAAGCAGAGTTGGAACCGGTTAAGATCTTTCCGACCGGTCCGTATCGGTTGACAATTTGAACCGGGCTGGTTGAAAAAAGTTTTTGGACCGGTAAAAACCGATGAAAACCGACTGATTTTAAAGCACTTTTCTAACGGGTTCAAAACCGGTCTGTCTTTACCGGTTTTTCAAGAAAATTACTTTTGCAAAAATACTTTCACCCAGAAAATAGAATGAAACTGTGTTTGAAGGTTTATTTTCTTCGGAAAAAATCTGAAAAATGTTTTCACAACGAAAAAAATCCACTAAAAAACTGCTAATTTTTGAATTTGTTCAATCAGTGAAAAATCAGCGCAACCAGCCGGTTCAAAACTTTCAACCGGTGCGGTCCGGTGCCAGTTTGCCGGACCGATTCCAGCTCTAACATACACTTTAGAATATAGCTCTGTTAAAACTCTCCTGTGAGTCATAATCTAAAAAAGTTCTTTGACATACGCGGGGTGAGAACTACTGCAAGTGAAAAAACCCATAGCCGTATAGCTTGCTTCGAAGAATGCGCCGGACCCGGGTAACGCCTCTTTCTAACATCTGTTCCCAATTAGTTTCTGACATACAGGTTTTTCTTTCGTTTCTTAATGCTTTAGGCCTATACCTGCAACACACTCACTGATGGTCACATTCGTCTATATCAGCTGGTAGTTAGACACAAATGGACGAGAGATCAAAGATCAGAGAAGGTGTCGAATTTATTTCAACTGCCGTTAAAAGAAATCACGTACAAATGATGATCAACAGCCAAAAAAAGAAAGAAAATTAGAATCATAACACAAATAAAAATGAAGAAGAAGAGTCAGAACTTTGAATGTATTTCTTTTACATGCCAGTTTCTCGGTTTTTTCAAGGTAATTTAAAAGTGAAGGTTCCTAAAAATGAAAAAATTTATTCCTTCTGTTCTTGAACAGAAAGAAACAGCTTTGTTCTTGCAAACAGCAATTTTCAGTTACATAACGTTAAGTCATACTGTTGTACTCTGCTATTACCAGTGTCAGCAACATTCAACAGGCCTCCGTCCGCTGTTACCGCACATCCATTAGGATTATTCAATGTAAAGTCTGTCTTAGCACCTGCCGATCCACACTGTCCAGCAAGCAGAGTACCATAGCTCTCTGGTCCATCGACAACAAAACGTTTAACACAGTTTGCACTTCCATCAACAACGTAGTAAAAGCCACTGATTTGATCACCACAGATACCTTTAATATCAGTTAAACCAATGCCGACCACTGTGTATGCTGAGTACAAAGTGGATGCAGGCCACATTTTAATTTGATGACCGTCACCTAAGTAAATATTGTTGGTTGCATCGACATAGAGATCAGTGGGTTCAGATGAGAAACCACTAGCTGAAAGTGTACATAAGAAATACAATAAAGAGAAGTTTGCAAGAAACTGCGCTGTCTCCTCAGAGTTTAGGCGTCGTAACCACGAGTAATCTAACTTAACTTACTTATTAGCTCGGTAGTCACATTCGTTGTCGAATCAAACAGCAATACCCGAGAGTTTCCGCTATCCAAGATATACAGCTGATCAGGGTCTTTCAGATAGAGACCCTGTGGATTATTTAATAGAGCTATCGTATTTCCACTATTGCCGGACTGTCCAAACACTGTTTGCACATATGCATCATTGATCCACTCAGAGATAATTGAATTATTTTTCTCACACACTAATATATGACTATTCGCACTTAGTATAACTGCATCGTAGGGAGTGTTGATCGCAGCTGGTTCCACACCTGCATTTCCGTTTCCAGCTACTATTACGCCAGTGCGAGCAGGTGGCGTGTACATCATAACACGATGATTATCGGTGTCAACTATGTAAACTAGTGCTGCTGTCAGTGCAACATTAACCGGAGCGTCTAGCGTGTCTGGACCTTCACCTTGGCCAGAGAAGCCCCCAACCGTAGTTCCCTGAAGTCCAGTAAGTGCAGCACCTGCACACGGTATGATTGGAGTCAGTAGTGTTTGTGTGCTGCCTATCGTTGATGATGAGGAGAACAACATCCATGTGGAATCTAGTAAGTGGAAAAGCGTACACAACCCAGCGTACACAACTTTCAGAGGATGTCTTGCAATGCGTTACTAATTTTTCGACTCAGTTTCAGTTAGTGCGTGATTCTCTAAAGTGCATTTTACCACATGGGTTCGAGCATCTAATCGAACCGGTCAGGCAGCCTAGAAAGTCTGCTTGAGAAAGACTTCTTTGAGGCAGCAGATTTCTGCTTTGAAAACGTATTCTGAATAGGTATTAAATGGGTGTCGTCTAATGTGCATTTTGCGTTATTACTTAACTAGAGGTCTTCTATTGTGTTTATGACTTTACTGTCTTTCTAGATTGTAGCCTAATAGCTCGTAAATTCTACGAATTCAAGACTTACCGTTTGTCGATTCCACTAGCTTGATCAAACTCAGCACACTTGCGTGTGGATTCACTATTAGAGACCCGCTGCTACTGCTACCCTCAATTGATTCAGTGTAAAGCAAACATTCTGAGTTAGAGTAAAAAACTTTCTTTAAAGCGTTTTTTTTAATGAAAGTACCGGAACTTTCGTTAAAAAAATTTTAACAGGAGTTCTGTTAAAATGACATTGAGGGCACAAGAAGTTCATTAAAACTTTTTGATGGCAGAAGAACTTCTACAGATCCGTTGATTTACAGATCAAAATTAGCTGCATTGGAACTATGTTTAACACAACGATAATTAGAAGGTTTAGAGAAACGTCAGTATAACTTTTATTAATCATATTTTTTTAGAAAAGCTAATTTATCAGGGCTTTATTACACTGCATATTATTCTCCTGGGGGTTTTTAGAAACGCTAATTTATTTCGAGTTTGTTTTGGAAAAGACGAATCTTCATAAGAGTTAGTAATGTAGTTAAAAGATGGGAGATGACTTTAGCATTGCTTTCATGCATTCTATCAGCAGAGAACATTTGAACTTACTAGTTGTTGTGGTAGTTATTGCTTCAAAGAAAGAAGAAATAGCATGCTTTGTTATTTTCTTAGGAAGAGATTCTATTGTTCAGGGCCTTTTTCTTACCAGTGCTAGTTAATGTTGATGCGGTTGTTAAAGCTAAAATAATTATAAAACAGTACAACATAGTATGTCACAATATTGTTGAGTATTATGATAAAAAATAAACGTTACATTTACCATCCGGAAGAAAAACTACACGGAATCAAAGACCCTCAGAAAGTTTGTTTTCTAAAATGCTATCCAGGAACTTCAAATACAATTACTCGGATTTCAAGTAAACGTAGTGATTTATATGAATTCGATAATGCTGATCACAAGTACCAAACTAGAGAGCAATTGCGCTGCGCACAAGTTGCGACGTCGACAGACTCTGTCTCTGACCGAACCTACAGCTCCAAGCAGATCCTATCTGTAGGCTGTGAGCATTGCATTCTTCCTTTCATTTACTGTTTGAACTGATGCTTATAAGATAAAAGAACAATGAACGAAGTTTGAAAAAGAGAGAAAAACTAAATGGCGCCGCACAAAAAATAACAATAATTATGTAAGTCCAAAACGCATTTTTCTTCCAATTGTGTAGCTTATGGCGCCGAATCTGGACCTTTATTTGAGAGCAAAATACGCATTGGTCAATCTCCAATGTTGGGATATTATCCTCCCGTTTTCAGAAGTTTTCTACGTAGCGTACTTCTCTAGATCACGTGACGCACATTCTGCAAAAAAGGAATGACTAAACAAGAAAAAAACTAGAGAGCAATGAGCCATATTCACATCCTAATGAGGTCGCTACATATAGATACTGTTTTCTTGCGTTCTGTCTATACAATACATGCAATCATACGGCCGGCTTTCAAGCCGTTTGACGGCCAACACATAGCGCCGTCACCAGGATGTGAATATGGCTCATTGTGCTGCGCACAACTTGCGATGTCGACAGACTGTATTCAGTCTGAATCTGCCAGAAACGGCCCGCAGTCAATAGGGAGTTCACCACATCACGTTCGTTGTGATTTTAGTTGCTTTAAAAGATAGAATTAAGAAAAATGAAATGAAAACGAAATTTGAAGAAGAGAGAGAGAGGATTATATTTCGTCTCAAGAACAAATGGCGCCGGACAATCAACTCTTATAAATGTACGAAAAGTTTCCAAATCCAAAAAACATTTTACTTCTACTTGTGCAGCTTATGGCGCCGAATCTGGACTGATGTTTGAAAAAAAAACGTGTACTTGTCAATCTACAGTATACAGAGAATATCCTCCCGTTTTCAGAAGTTTTCTATGTAGCGTAGTTCGCTAAATCATGCAGTGCACATTTTGCAAAAAAAAGTGACTAAACAAGAAAAACAACAACAACTAGAATGCAATTGCGCTGCGCGCAAGTTGCGATGTCGACAGACTCTGTCTCTGACTGTACCTACTGCCCCAAGCAGATTCTATCAGTAGGCTGTGAGCATTGCATTTTTGCTTTGGTTTAGTCTTTGAACTGCTTATAATATAAAAGAACAATGGATGAAATTTGAAAAAGAGAGAAAATTACTTTTCTTTCTCTAAGTAAAAGCAGGACAAAAAATAACAATAATAATTATCTAAGTCCAAAACACATTTTTCTTCCACTTGTGTTGCTTATGGCGCCGAATCTGTACTTGTGTTTGGAAAAAGAACGTGCAGTTGTCAATCTACTGTATACAAAGAATATCCTCCCGTTTTCAGAAGTTTTCTACGTAGCGTAGTTCGTTAGATCACGTCGTGCACATTTTGCAAGAAAGATGACTAAACAAAAAAGAAAAAAACACTTTTGCACAGCAAAAACACATAATGTCTGTCGACATAAAAATCCCAGCAAAAACACAATATGTCTGTCGACATGATTAGAATTAGAGAAAACATTTTCATTTATGACATTCACGGAATTTCAATTCTCAAACTATGGCGCCAGTTTTTTGCGGTTTTGATTATACCATCGTTATGAAGATTTTCTATCGATCAGAAGCTGCTAGCTAATTCTGGGGCAGACAAGTTTCCTTCATTATTCATTTTTGAAAAAGTTCTTGATTTTGAGTTGAACAAAGCCTGATGGAAAGCAACAACCGGGCTTCTTAAGTACCACGATCAGCGTCGACGATCTTCTTTTTTAAAAGTTTTGAACTTTTGCTCAGAAAGTAAGAAAGATTCAAAAGTTTTGTTTCAGTAAGCTTTCTATCATCTAGAGTGTGTTTAAAGTTTACCCTTTATAGTCTTTCCGCAAAATATTTTGTTCACAATGTGACATTCCATCATTCTCAGTGGTTTTCGAGGATACATGATCGCCGCAATGCCCCTTACTAAATGATCCGTTCAATGCTATCTATAATGCTAAAAGCACTGATGCTTCCAACTGGCGTATCGCGACCCCGCAAAAACTTCATTCGTTCGGGCCAAAATTATTAATTCGGATACTTGAGCGATATCTCAAAATGGTAATGACTTTTTCTTTCCACTTATGTGTTTTCAAAAGTCATATACTAGGTCTTACGTACGACTATATCTCGAGAAGGAAAAGGAAGGAAGGGAAAAAAATTACCGATCTGAGATATCGTCTTAGCCAGGTATCTGTGCCAAAACTTGAAACCCGATTCGATGATTGAGAACTGGTTATTAGCTGTTATGAGGCCCGTGGCACATAAGTTCGAAAAGAACTTAAGCTGTAATGATGGCTTTATTATCCGTGACACGACATTTCTGCGAACGACATTACTCGCGAACCGACATTTTCGCGAACAGGACCCCGACTCTTCCGCGAATTTTTCATAGTACACATTGGGTATTTTTGATAGTGTGTGGTGGGTGGTAGGGAGGTGAGGGCAGTGTGAGAGTGAGTTCGAAAAATAGTTTCACACAAAAGGTATTTTCTTGATGTTGTGTGAATTTGCTTTAGCTTTCGAAGTGGTTATCTGATATGAAATTAGTTCAAGATGAAGCTGTATTAAAACTGTAATAACGACTAGATTCACCAGTAACACCAGTTATTTCGTTAGTTTTCTAGAGTTTAATCTTTTTAAATCCATTTTCAAAAATTTGCAGACGAGTCGTCGTGGTAATGTGGGTTCGCGGTAATGTCTCGCGGTAATGTCGTTCGTGGAAATGGCGGTGTATCTTATTATCAGATTACGTCTTGGTAATGCCGACTTTAGGTAATTGCTAGTGACCACCAACATTTAATTATTGCCTGCATCAGGTTCAACTCCTGTTTAAGTCGCAAAAGTCCATAGCAATGACCTGGATAACTTCTTTAGAAAATACGATCGCAGATGCCCTAGTGATTTTGATCTTTGAATATTGTGCTTACGAGGGAACATTCCCAAGTGACGCGCTCCGATTTCATTCGTTCGTACGTCGATCGATAGAGGATAGTGAGCTAGTAAAAAGCCTAAAAGGATTCGGGCTCTTTACTCTTGAAGACCCGGTTTTCTGGAAAACCAGTTTTTCAGAAACTTTAAGAAATAAGCAAAATCTTTTCTTAATGAGGTATAATTGCAGCCCGTACATTTCTGATTAAAATGAGACATCTCCCAGCTCTACACGACCTTTCTATGCAAAGTTATACAATTTACAAGAAAAGCCCTAAATGTTCATTGTCATCTCAAAGCTGCAGAAGTAAGAAGAAATTAATTTAGGGCTTTTCTTGTAAATTGTATAACTTTGCATAGAAAGGTCGTGTAGAGCTGGGAGATGTCTCATTTTAATCAGAAATGTACGGGCTGCAATTATACCTCATT